TGGCCTCCTTCCCACCGGCAGACAAGTCCCAAATGGAGTAGCCTTTTGCCACTAAGGCCCAAGCTTCCAAACACTTTGAAGCCAAACAGGCTCCACCGTTTTCGATCTCGAGCAACGCTCGGCAGGTTTCAGCGCAGGCACACGTGAACATTGGCCCAGGACAGGTTGCTATATTAATTATTACGGCTTCCACAAAAATGCGAACCTAAAGCAGAGGGTAAGCCTTTTGCCGCAGGTGGGGCACTGGTTTGAAGAATCAGAATCGGCAGGGGTGAACAGGTGATTGGCGCAGACCCGCTCTCGACCCATCACTGACGCCGGACTGACTTTATCCCTGGGACCAACCATGCCCTACCTTTGGTAGCTCTACCTGAGCCTGGCTTCACAAAAAACAGAAGCTGTCGTGTTAACCCCAGACCTCCAGTGGCCACAGGAGAAAAGGGCAACCTGGTTGTTGGTAGTTAATTTTAAGGAGACCCCCCTTCCCCCAAACAAACCACCCTTCCCCCAAACAAAAGGAAAAACAGGCTCCTGATCAAAGCCCAGCTGAACTTTGGAGCCCCGGACTGTTTCCAGCCACTTTTCCTGCTCTCCCACAACATGCTGGCTGTGTCAGCAAGCCCGCAGGCCGCACACGATGCACACCCTCAAAATTCCTCTACACCAGGGTGTCAGCTACAAGCTAGCTCGCCCCCTAGCCTTCAAGGGCACAAGCCAGCAAAAGCAACAGCTTCTATGCATCAGACATGCAGCTTGTGCCGGTCCGGTTGTTGCAATCCATAGGCGCAGCATTCACAAAGCGTTGTGCCATGTGCGATCACAATGAGCACACATGCGAGCACATTCTGCCGATCCTCTTGCCCAATTGGCGAAAGGAATGGCTTTCCTGCCGATTCTCCCAGGGCTTTTGCTTGGTGGGGTCATTGGCAAAGACCGTCTTCATGCCTTGGTGGTTTGCTGATAATCTAAATGTTGCTAAAACTAGACTTTTAGTGCGATATGTCAAAAATCACCCTAAACAGAAAAAGTCTACACCAGGGTGAAGAGTATATGGCACGATTCCCTTTCTGCTGGTAAGAAAAAGAGATGACTCAACCAAATGGGGGGGGGATTGTGCCATCTACTTTCACCCAAGTGCAACCGTTTAAGCGTGTGCTCGCTTCCTAAGCGGATTGACCGAACGAACTCCAAACGTTCCGCCAGCATGCTCCAGAGCCAAAAGTACCTAAAGTTTAGAAACAGGGAGGGAGTTTGCTTCCCCAAACAAACGAATGTGGCATCCACCAAATCAGAAAATGTGTGGCATCCAGTGAGCCAAGCTGCTGCTGAGCACCAAGCTGGAGAAGAAGCGATTCCGCAGCGAGGCCTTGAGCCCAGCTGCCGTGTGCACTGAGCCCATCATGGAGCTGCGGGCCACGATGTTCTCGCAGAACGCCTTGCGCGTGTCCTGCAAAAGGGAAGCCACTTCTTGAAACAACCGCTGTGGTTTTGGCCGTGTCAAGAAACCAAGATTTGAAAGTCAACAGGGGGTTTGGATGTGCCGTGGTGTTTTCAAACATCATCTTGTTGCCCCATAGGTGAGCTGTCTTGGGGGTCATGTTTATTCAGGAAAAACAATAGAACCCTGGCCTACCGCCCTTGAAAAGCATGCTTGGAGCCAAGTATGGCTACATTTCCGCTCGCTTTCCACCATCCTTGAAATTTGAAACCTGCGTATTGGTTTCCGTGATACCAGGCCCCGGTCTTTTCCAAGGCCATGGTTAAAATTTGAAACCAGACCCTTGCACATCTTATATCCTGGTAAAGCTGCAGACCAGCAGGCAGCGAGAGCTTTGGATTCAGCAGGATCTGGCCCAGGCAATAGGCGTCGTGCATGGCCATGTTGGCGCCCTGGCCCATAAAGGGCGCAGTAGCATGAGCCGCATCCCCAAGGAGCACCGTTCCTGGACTCAACTCACAAACATGTGTTCCCATATATATATATATATATGCACATAGTTGATATGCTTCATGCATAGTCAACCTTAAAATGTAAAGTATGTTCTGAGGAGACCCTAGCTTCGACCTTTTGGAGAGATCCAGGACTTCCGTGGCGCTGACTGGTAGATGCCCCAGTCGAAGCATACCTCGGAGTTGTCCACTGCTGCTTGCAAAATGGGGAGGTTGGGCCCCACATGTTGCGCCACTTGGGCAAAGCGCTCTTTCACCATGGTGGAATCCCATCGATCCGTGACCTCCTCCTCACTGCGGAGGATCAAGGCGCAAATGTCGTGGCGGCTGGCGCCTTTCCCGGCAGTCAGCTCGAGAATGCCATATCCAACCTCGGAAGGCCATGGGAATCCAGGGGCATCCCCGTTTTTGAGGTTGATTCCAAAGCAGGGGATCCTTACATTATACACCTGAACCTTGCCTTGTAAATGGTGGCTTCCCTTTATTCCGGTGGAAAAAGCCATGTTTCAAATGGGCAAAATGTATCTTTTCAGCCCTGTAAAGGGAAGCCTCCAAAATACGGGGACCCACTGGGGCAGCTGGGCAACTCCTTCCACCTCCTGCCAGTGGATGCAGTTCACGGAAGAGTCAGGCCGGAATTGCTTGGAGGATACGCTGTACAACATCCTGTAGCCCGTGAAGACTGGCTGGTCACTTCCGAAAACCTTCTGCCGCACAAAGCTGTGAATTCCATCTGCCGCCACCACTAAGTTTGCGGAGGCTGTTGCTCCGTTCTCAAAGGTCAGCAGGACGTCTTCATCTCCTTCAACGATATCAACCAGCTTATGGCCAAGCTTGATGACATTGGAGGGCAGCGAGTTTACCAAGATCTTTTGCAGATCCGTGCGCATGGCAATACATCCCGGCAAGATCAAGTTGCCGAGGGGCTGGCCGTGAGCGCTATATTGAATCTGCAAGTCTTCGATATCCTCATGGGCCATGGGCAAGAAAGGGCGCCCTGTTTGATCTTGTTTGACTTCACCATGTTTGTGGCTGTGTGTGTTTTGCGGGGGTTTCCCCCTTCCGCATGTTTTTGCTTGTTGGATTTGACGCGGGTTTCCCCCTTCAACGTGCCAAAAGGCGTGGAGCTGGTTGCGGCCGGGCTTCATTCGCCACCGCTGTGAGTTTGTCTCCGAGCCCGAAGCTCTCGAGGATGCGCTTGCCGCCGGCCAAGCCCAGTGCGCCACCACGGACTTTCCACTGGTCCCAGGCCTCGTAGAGGCACACCTGGCGAAAGTCCGATATTCCTCCAGTAGAGAGGATAGAATAAGGGTACCCTGTTTTCTGTAGTCTCTTTTAGTAGAGGAACCCTCCCCCAAAAAAGGGGTAAAAGGGCACCTAGCTGGGGGACCTAGCCTGAAACATCACAACCCAAGGAAACACACCGGACAAAACCGGCCGCACCTCCACCCCTCCTTCCACCAAGGTCTTGGCTAAGGTCAGTCCACCCAAGCCAGCGCCGATGATGGCCACTTTCGGAGACATGGCAATGAGATCGCTGAGATCTTGAGACGTCTTCCTCAAGCTAATGCTTGAGCCCAAGGCCAAAACAGCGCCAAGTAGCTCAAGGGACCTGGCAAAGAGCCCCGGCCCTCAGGGAAAAACGGCTTTGGGCCCTGGTAAAGTTTGGAGTGCGGGCTACACAGTCCGAGCTGAGGTCACTGCCAGTTGCCCTTCCAAACCATGTCCAATGTGTCCAACGGAAAGCGGTTTTTGGGCTTGACTTCAAAGGAACTTCAAGTCTCTTCGGGAGGAAGCACACATCGCACCCTTCTTTAGGAGTGCCTCGCAGGGAAAATCCAGCTGTCTTGTCATTCCAAGCGAACTTGCGGATCACGCGGATCCCTGGTTCAAGCTGTTGAGCAAAAAACGCGAACCTGTTCCCATGCGGCTAAATGCAGCTCGGCGGCTTCGGCAGCAGTTGAAGCTCCGCGATGCCCACCTGTGTGCCTCGAGGTGCTTTGGCGAGTCCGTACCATGGAGTTTTCCGGAAAGGGGGGAGGGGGTGGGGTGATACAGGGAATCAACGGGCAAGGACACCCGAGCCGTGTTTTTTCTAATTGTGCGGGGGCCTATGCACCGGCTGCACGGACCTACTCGGAGGCTACGTGGTTTCTTTCCCCCTAAACATTTGGATACGCGGCAGCTGCGCAAAACATATATGTTTTGAGAAGTGGCTACGTGGGTGGCTACGCGGAATCGTGCTTGCAGACCGTCCTGTTCACGCACCTTCCGAGTGAGACGAAGAAGATTCGGTGGTCCTTGCCAATGCCCCAAAGAACCTGGAAATACTAGGTTCAACTTTTGGGGACCTTAACGAAAAGTGGAAGAAGGGAAAAAGGTCCAAAGGCCGATTCGCTCGCTGAGGAAAGGGTGTGCTCCCTTGGCACTGCTTGGAGAGGTATCGTCCCCTGGATTAGAGGATATGGGACTTTTGCAAGGGCCGATTTTGGGAATAGGTTTTGCCTCCATCTATTCCCAAAAGGGGTGACTGTCAATCGTCAATTACGGATACCTGAGACTTGAGCTCAGCAATTTCTCTGCTTGGAGCATACCAACAACGCCGGCAAGTCATGCAAATTTACAACAACCGCTTGATATCTCAAATCACCTGACAGGAAAGCAGGGACAATGGGGACAAGATGTTCACCGGTTCTCAATCGGGGAAGGGGGGGTAGCTGTTAAAGCCCAAACACAATGCCTTGCCCTTCTTAAAAAAAACTTCAGCAACCCTGACCTGAAGTTTGAGTTGTTGCAGGGGGTCAAGCTTACCTACAAAGCGAAGGGGCTAGGGATCCAGGCGAGCTCGTCAGGGTGGTCGTTAATGGGAAGGGTTCCGGGTTGGTTCCGGGGCTGTTGCGGATATTGCATGGGCTTATTGTTATGGAGGGTGAGGAAATGACCCATTTGAACGTGTGTCAAAAAGGGGGGGGGTTCCCAAAATGGTGGCTTTCCTTTTGGCTTCGTACACCAACAAAGATACACACGCACTGCATCGGCCTGTACCCTCCAGTAGAGTGAGCTGGTAGCTTCTCCAACTGCTGAGGCCTTGGCCACGGGTCAATGAAGTTGGACGCTAAACTGGCAACGCGAGTCACGTGCCTGATCTTTCCAAAACGGGCCATCAACTTGTTGTGTTTCGCTTTCAAGACGATATTCTAAATAGTTCCAGTGGAGCATGCTATGGTTGGCTAGTCATAGCATTGTCAAAACCAGCGCTTTGTTCATTGGTTCTTTTCGTAAGAGGATCAGTTTCTCAACAAGGGACAAGGGCTTCTCCCATTGATGCGGGTTGATCGGCATTGAGGCTGAAACCACATGGGAGCAGTTGCTTCTGTTCGTAGTAACTCTTGTGCAAGTCTCACCCCTGGATCAATCAACCGCGTCCTTTCCTCAGGGGAGTGTTAGTTCCCCCCCCACCCAGAAATAGAGATCCTCTCTAAATGCACCACCCTGCGACTAATTCACGCAGGGTTTCTTCTGGGACTAATTGAAGGCCTGCTGCTCTTAAACCTGCCCGCCGCTGAGCTCAGCTCTGAACGTGCAGGTCACTCAGTTTGCAGAGGCTGAGCTCTTACACCCAGGAATTCCCAGATCCCGCCATAGGTCTGGTTGTGGAACATGGGCCGTTTCTGCCCTACCAAAGTGGTTACCTGTCTTCATGACTAATCGCGCCCCTTGGCACCTCACCAACAGTATCAGCCCAAACACCATGTTTAAACCGCCAGGTCTTTTACCTCCCGGTCGCCCGAAGGGAGCCAGAGCTTGACTGGGCTACGTACACTTTTGCCACAAGAGGCTGGACCAAAACGTTGACAAGCACTTGTGCCTACGTCTCTCTTGTTGCCGTTATGTACGCGTTGCGCTGTGCGATCAAAACAGTAACCTGACCGTATTTGGAGTCTCCACCCTTACAAAATGGGGCACACCTAAACAGAAAAGGGGCATAACCTGCTTAAGACGCCAGGTACGCGTAGGATTCTCGTAGCCCTTACGTTGGGTTGCCTGCCCCAGGGGCCTCGCCTGCCAGCTCTCGCACCTGAGTGCTGCCCTCACTCCAGGTCACGCCACTCACCTCCGCGCTTGCTGCCCATTTTGGGCTGGATGCTTGCAAAGGAGAAAAAGAGCTTTCTCTGTGTCAAGTTCGTTTTCAGTAGCAAACCAAGTGGATGCACAAAGGGAAGCGCTTTCCCTCTGTCAGTTCGTTTTCATTGATTGTCGAAGCAAGTGGATGCAAGAAGGGAAGCAGAAGCCGCCACACAATCAAGCTGGATCCGTGTGCGAAAAATAACGGATCTGAGAACAAATAAATAAAAACAAATATATATATATATATATATAAAAAAACCAACACCCCATGCCTGGTCCAGCAGCTGGCGGCTAGGGCTGTTGGGCTCGATGCCCTCCAGGCGCCATGCCGTGGGCGCCAGATCTGCTCGCCCCAGGATGGCGCTCAAGGCGTAGGACCCCAGCGTGGCGTAGGTGCCATCTGGCGATGCGCGCTCAAGGAATGGGCGGGCAGTGAGGGGGGTGGAGGATGCCCACCCCGAGTGTTGGGGTGAAGTTCGCTGGTTGAGCCTCGCCAGTTCGAAAGCTGGAGGGGCATGTCGTGAACAGAAAATGGGAGATTGGTGAGGTGTGTCCGCGCATTTCCCGCTGATTTCTGCGCATTTCCGGGACAAACGCCGGCCAAGTCAATGGTTCCGCTCATTTCATATTTTCGATTCCAGGCACAAACATGTTGATTGCAGCTTAAGCATTCGAAACTCAACATCACAGTGCGCCCTCACCCCGGCCTGCGATCCGCGCTTCCAGCCATTGCGGCGCTGGTCCCGCGGAGGCCCTGTGCCACGAACAGTTGGAATCGTGCCGAAGCCTAGGGGAGGTGGCCCTGATGATACTACCCTAGGAGCCCAGGACCTCATATATGAAGGTCTCAGCCAAAGCCTCTAATTTCAGGGTCTTGGGGTCGGGACCTTAAAATATAGGGTCTCAGAAAATTGGGAAGAGTTGACAGCGGGATGCCCCACGAGGACGTGTTTTTCTTCGTGGCTCTTTCAGGCTCTAATGTCACAGACAACTGTGATCAGGCAGCCCGTACATGAAGATCTCGAATGGACTTAACCCTAGGGACCGCTGACGCATTGAATTGCATACAATCAAGCTATGCAGTTCATGCAAGTTTGCACTAAGTTCAGGTCTGTGCATTTGTCCTCGCACCTGTTCAGGCATTGTATTGGAATGGTACGATCTGAGTTACGCGGCTTAAGGCATTTTAACTCGTTTTAACGCAGTTAAACTCGTTTTAACGTGTTTTAACGCGATTTAACTCGAGGCCTCGTTATATAGGCCTCGGGGGTAAGTTTTAACGCAATTTAACTCGCTTTAACTTTGGCCTGCGCTCCTTTCGAAAAGCCATTCTTTAGCCCAGGAAATTGGTTGTGTCTTCTTTTTTGCTTTGGCTGGCATCCATCAGTGTTGCAGTGGGAAACTTGTCTGCAAAGTGGCTTTTTTGTCAAGCCTGGCTGTCTTCATGGAGAAAAGTACAAAGTCTGGTTTGCCAATCTTGCGGTTTTTGCATGATCAACGAATACTCATGTCTCTATCTTTGCTCTGAACACAGGCAGAGAGAGGGCACCTGACCTACCAGTGGATCCCTCAACCTGAGACCTTTATATTCAGGCCTTGGCCCCCTCTGAGCTATCTAATTCCGAGACCTTATTTTTCAAGGTCTTGTCTAGAGTTGCCTCCCAGCGCAGGTCTCGAACAGAAAGCCTTCTTATATGAGGTCTCGGGGCTCCTAGGGCTATATATATAGATATATCTTTATAAATACGTTGCTTTTGTATTGCAAGTGGGCCAGCTTGTTTCAGGGTTTGAATGGAAACTGAAAGAGAAGCCGTGTTCCGTGCCCCCTATTTGGACACATATACACACATAGTAACCCCCTCCCCCCCCCCGGAAATTACGCCCTCAAGCATTGAAAGCACACATTGTGTTGTACTACACTCCAAAAGCACGGATGAAAATGGGGTGTACTCAGCCCTGCAGCAAGTGAGACTGGTACGTGATGTGCCGTTTTGGGGGTCCAAAAGTCGAGTGAGTCACTCACTTCCCTCGATTTGCTTAAGTCTCAGGAACAAATACACATACTTGCAGCAGTGATCGATTTTCTTTGACACCAACAAAAGAACACAAACATACATACTTGACATACTCTTAAGCAAATGGAAGATTATTGAGCCGCTTTGTTGGAAGGCATCAACACCCGCCAAATGGGTCTTGGGAACAGGGACCAAGAAAGAGATTGCCCGAAAGGGATTCTTCCAAACAAGTCTTTCCTACAGTGCCCAGGCAGAAAGCCCTGCGCTGCAGCAAGCTTGCAGGAACCAACCGGGACTGCTCAGGACTCTCTCTTCAAAAGTCGAACAAACGTTTGGAGGAAGAGCCCTGTTCTTTGTCCTGGGAGCTTCAAAACCATTGGGTTGGGAACTTTGGGGGTGCACGATCTCAAGCTACACATACCTGGGTCTTCCATTTGGTCACTTTTTAGGGCTCTGGGCATGTTTTTTGCTCGTTTCAGATTTTGAGCGGAAAAACTAAAAATGAGCGGAAATCTTGATTTGGCATGATTTGGCAAGTTGTCTCCCGGAAAATGAGCGGAAATCGGCGGGAAATGAGCGGAAATCGGCGGGAAATGAGCGGAAATGTGCGGACACGCACCAGAACCACTTTCCATTTGAGCGGTTTCTTTCCAATTGAGCGTTTTTGGATGAAATGAGCGTTATTTTTGCTCGAAACGGGAACATCCAGAAAAAAGTGCCCACGGAAGACCCAGGTATGAAATGCCCCGAACCAAGGCCAGAGTGCGTTGCCCAGGTCAACCGCCAGGATGTGTGTCGAAATAGGTGGACCTCCAAGATGGTGGTTTGCCCCTTAATTTTGCGTTCCATCGATTTGAAAAGGGTGCCCTCAGCAAACAAAACGCAGACCCGCCAAATCGCCGCCGGCCTTCACCCGACAGATACATGCTGCCAAGGCTCCAAGCGCTGGAGAGGTTTCGATCCAAGGCGAAGGAGCAGGCGTACTCGTTGCTCGAGGACCTCAAGGCCCCCCGCCAGAAGTTCCTACGTCAAACCCAACTGTCCCACTTACTCAGTTCTTCAGTGACCCTGAGAAAAAAAGGGGAACCCTTTCTGAGGAGGACCATTTGTAGTGGGGCAGCCACCAACAAAAAAGGGAAATCGGGTGCCACTGAACAACTGAGCTTACCACTGTGATTGATACCCCACTTGCAGGGTTCCTGCCAAGACCCCGGCAAAAGGACACCTTGGTCAATGGGGAACCACAGGAAACCAAGAAGACATGTTCTACCCTTGCGGTTTAATCATCCTATACAAGCTGGGAGTAACCTTGTGACTTGGGAAGTGTGATGTAAGGAATCGGTAGACGCACTGTTGCTTCCACATTTGACTTCGCCTTTCCCGGGCCAACAAGCCGATTTCTAGGTATTCTGACCTTGCTCACGAACTTTAAGGGGTGGGTCTTTCAGTTAATGGTACCCTTCTGTGTGGCGGTTTCTCTTTGGAAGATCAAAGAGCAGATCCCATGTGCTTGTTCCCTCATTTGGAACACCCTCCAATCTGTTCTCAGTCAACAAGTAAGTGCAAAGGCGGAATACGCAAATAGAAGCACACCCGCCGCCTTTGCATCTGGCCAACACAGGGAACCAAGGGCCCCAACATTCCCCAACAGGAACGGTTCGGAAGGAACGATCTGATCGGAGGGTCCGGATTGCTTCACGGCGTGCGACATATTGGTTGCCAGGAGCAGGTGCCCAAATGGTGGGCAGAACCCGCCGGCCAACAATGCTACTCGGATCATTCGGACAAGTGCCATATGGTAAATGTGCCAGATGAACAAAGAAGCCGGCGAACCTTGGAATCACACTCCACTTGTTCTTTGGCTTGATTTCTTCCGCGCAGCATTGTTTGGACCACTGCTGAAAAGCCGGCTCTGCAAGTTCGAGGGTTTGGCACAACATTCGCAACGTCGCAGTTTCTCAAGGTCATGGGCCAAGTGGTTGCTTACTTTGGCAGTCTTTTCCAACCATTCAGAAACAAAGTCTATAGTACTGAGGCTGTCTTTTGCCGAGGGTATGGACCTTTTTGGCAGTGGTTGAATGGAAATGACAGGGACAACCCCCGGTTTGAGTCTGAGGGTTCCCATATTTTGTGCCAAACTATTTCGCCTGATATTCATAGGCCGCGTGCTTGACATGGACATTGAGTGGATGTCAGCGGTGAGGGCAATGCTCCTGGAGATTGCAAGAACGAACCCCCAAAAGCAACACGTGCAAAGGGGTGCCCCATTGATGAGCCCTGTCCTGACTCAGCTGCTGCCCCCCCTACATACAACATTCTTAGCCCCCACCTACGTACAACGTTCTTAGCTACGTACGTAGTCCATGCACTGTGACACAATGCCAACAAAGGCCCCAGTTTTGGTGGACTGCGTTTGAGACTGAATGCCAGTCTTCAGTGAGTGTTTGCTGAGCTCGGCACGTGCACACAAAGCCGGCTTCGATGTTCAAGCCACTTGCCAGCGGCAGGGCAAAAAGGAGCAGCAGCTCCATAGCCCGAGGAGGCTCATGAGAAGGTGCAGATTTGCTGAAAGGGTTTGCCTGAGGCAGTAGTCTCTGAATTGGCAAGCCCTGCTTGCATGGTGCAAGGAAACGAAAACCAAACACTTGGAGGCTGGTCAAGGGCACCATGAACAATTGCAGGAACACACATGCTGAACCTAAGTTGGGAATATGGGATCTGCCGACTAAGGAAGCTTCGTCTGAGGTTGCTTTCTGTCTCAAGTTTCGCCAACCAAACAATCAATCATGAATCATGAAGCTTTGAACGGCCGTCTGCGTGTTTCCCCTTTGGGAATTCGTTTCCTGGCTGAGGCCCGGAGAATTTCTGGTCGCTCACTTGAGGCCTGGGACCTGACAGCCGAAGCTGGCGGACACGAGGGGGCACTTCTGTCCTTCAAGCGAAGCTGGACATATGCGCACGAAATGAAGGGACAAGATAACCGAAAATGTCAAGGGAACCTTCATTCCAGAAAACCACGACAAGAAACAGAATGTGAAATTCATGGGGAATCAACTCTTTGAGGAACAGAACATTTCGTGCGTTTGGGGTGACTATGAGGTTGGTGACAGTACCCCAAAACGGCAGGAAGAATCCTTAAATGTTCAAAAAGGGGCGGCATCAGGTGAAGAAGGAAAGATGTCAGGAAAAAGGGCTCTGCAAGAAGGTGGGCTAGCGTCTTCAAAGCCTGCACACTTTCCAAGAATCGCTTCTTTCAACAGCAAGCAACCTGCACAAATGTGGACCCCGGATTACTCCCCTTGCAGATTTACATGGGATCCAAACCGTCATGAGACATCTCGTTCTGGGGCTCTGTCTTCGTGTTCCATGCTGCCTTGCACAAAGCAACAAAATCTGGCAGATTGGTGAGGCAGAACCCTGCCAAGTGGGGCAGCTCCCCTTGTACATTAGTCAACCAGAGGTTTATCAATGTTCTTCACCCGAGATTAGTGAATTGATCATTGTGCTAATAGCTCACCAAACAGGAGCCCTATGCAAGAAACGTTCTTGTTTTATGTGTCTCAAATCTAAAGCGCTCTCAAATCGGTTCCAGTTCTCACGCCTCTGCCATGCCCAGCCAGGCCCGGCCGAGCGCGCCGCTTTTCTCGGTTGGCATTGTCATGGGGGAATCTCAGGCCCCAGCTCTTGGCCGTCCCCCACCCTTGCCTTCTCAAGACAGCCCAAAAACAACTTCTTCGACCAACAAATGTGTGTGTTTCCCCCAGATATAGTTCCAACTTCTAAAAAAGAAGGGAAAGTGATTTGCGAGGCAGTTTGGGGTGTGATGGTGCAGGCACATTGTTTTTTAAAGATCAGGGTGCTAGGGCATGCAGTTTGGGAGCTGTTTGAGCTGCTGGTGATGGTGCGGGCACATTGTTTTGTAAAGATTGACAGCCGGGGTGCTCTGGGAGTGCTGTTTGGGGGTTGCTCGGGTAGCTGGTGCGGGCGCACTTTTGCAATTGATGGCAGGGGGCCAGAGGGCATGCAGTTTGGGGCGCTTGCGTGGGTGGTTTTGGGGGGCCTGGTGACGGGGGCGGGCGCGTTTTTGCGAGATTGACTGCGGGGTGCTGGGGGGCATGCCATTTGGGAATTCTTGTGCAGGTGCTGTGTTGGGATGCTGTTTGGGGTGTTGGTGGAGGTGCTTTTTGGGCAGTGCTGTTAGAGGTGCTTGCGTGCAATCGTTGGCACGTATTTCGCTATCTGGGACCTGTGCAGGTGTATTTTTACAAGGTAAGCTGTAGTTCTGTGCAACCTCATCCAAAAATATTTAAACATTATCCCCAATTACACGAAACACACAGAAAGTATTGAGGTTCCGCGCTATCTCTCATGGGTGTATTTAAGGACAAGAGAGGGGTTAGGGATGTTGGGGCCAGCCTCGAGAAGTGCGACCTGCATCCTGAAATCTATGGGGGGTTGGGCGGCATTGGCTCAAACAGCCAGGCACCTCTGGTGCCGAAAGCGCCACACAGACCACATCTTGCGTGTGTAGCCTCGTAGTTTCCTCATGGACCCCCAAGGGGGCTATGGGGAGGGGGGGCTATCCCTTATTATGCCCTTAATAAGGCCATCCTTAGGGTATCCTGGGCTTATCCAGGGATAGCCCCCCCCATAGCCCCCAAAGATTCCATGATTTCCTGAAACCCAATCAAAAGAGGTGCCCAGCCCAACCCCCGGCGTCACTTTGGCTCTTTGTGTTGCGTGGGAAACCGTTTGGAGCGGCTTAGTCATCCTCATAGTCGGAGGCGGAGTCACTGTCAGCCGCCTGGCTGTGGGCGAATCGGAAACCTCCTCCAGGATGTGAGCGGGAAACCAGGATGTGAGCGGGAAACCAACCTTGTTGAGTGGCTTCTCAAATATTTGAAAACAAGCACACAAAAGGTCAGAGTACAATAAAGCCATGTGGTGAAAGGTATGTCAAAAAAGGTCAGAACGTGTTTGTATTTCAAGAAAGTCAAAAGAGACCTCCAGATTCCCGGCGCCTGCTGGGCCCAGTCTGGCGCCTGTCCTCCGATCCAAAGTTCCTGCTCCTCGGCCTGAAGCGTAGCCCTCACGACATGGTCATGGGTGAAACCATAGCAACTTAGTATCTTGACTGCTATTGTGCTGGATCTTTAGACTTAAACTGTTTGGGAAACCAAGGGGTTTTCCATTCAACCCACAAACAGTTAAACTTTTTGAAAGGGCGAAAAAAACAAGACAGAGCCCACGAACCCGAATGCACATCACTTTGCGCAAGCCCAAGAAAATAATTAGAAAGAACATTTTTCGGTGTAAGCCAATGGGGCTCGCAATCAAGCCTACTGCACAAACTATGTTTTTCAGCTTGTAAAACTGTACTTTGCGTGCTCCACTTGTTGCTACAAAGCTACGATTTTCAATCTGGAGCTGGAAACCTGCGCTTCGCGCGCGAGACTTGTACTACAAAGTTGCGACTTTCCAGCCGGAGCTGGTACTTCGCGCACTAGATTTGCGCTACACAGCTGCGATTGTCCAGCTAGAGCTGATGCGCTACAAAGTTGCGATTTTCGAGCTGGAGCTCAAAACCTGTACCTCGCGTACTATACTTGCACTTCAAAGTTGCGATCTTCCAGCCAGAGCTGGAAACTTGTACTTCACGTACTATACTTGCACTACAAAGTTGTGACTCAGAGAACAGCATACACCATTGTGCGAGTTTGGTGAGACAGTGCAATACATGCTACCAACAGTAAAACAATTTCCAAAACTAGAGCCAAGGTTCTACAACGGGATCTGGCTTGGCAAGGATACAACTACAGGCGAATCCCTCATCGGGATCTACAATCAGAAGGCAGATAATGCCTCACAAATACGACCAGCAACTATTGGACTGTGTACACACAGGTCCATGGAAGACACCAGCATCAGCACTGCCTACACCGACTCTCACACCACCAGTAACAATGCCATCAGCAAGCAAAACAAGTACATCACAGAAGGATGCAGCAACAAGCATCCAGCTAGTGCTGGAAACATGTACACTTCGCGCACTAGACTTGTACTTCAAAGTTGAAATTTGCGGCTGGAGCTGGAAACCTGTACTTCGCGTACTAGACTTGTACTACAAAGTCGCGATTTTCTAGCTAGAGCTAGAACCCTGTACTTCACGTGCTAGACTTGTACTACAAAGTCGCGATGTTCCAGCTAGAGCTAGAAACCTGTACTTCGCGAACTAGACTTGTGCAACAAAGTCGCGATTTTCCAGCTGGAGCTGGAAACCCGTACTTCGCGTACTAGACTTGTTAAAGTTACGATTTTCCAGCTAGAGCTGGAAACCTGTACTTCGCGCGCTAGGCTTGTGCTATACAAGGTTGTGATCTTCAGCTAGAGCTGGACTTCGCGTACCTGTGCTTCGCGTACTAGACTTGTACTACAAAGTCGCGATTTTCCAGCTGGAGCTGGGAGCCTGTACTTCGCACGTTGTAGACTGGTACTACAAAGTTGCGATTTTCGAGCTGGAGCTGGAAACCTGTACTTCATGCACTAGACTTGCACTTCAGAGTTGTGATTTTCCAGAAACCTGTACTTCGCGCGCTACACTTGTGCTACACAGTTGTGATTTTCCAGCTAGAGCTGGAAACCTGTGCTTCGCACAGTAGACTTGCGCTACAAAGTCGCGATTTTCTAGCGCGTACTAGACTTCTGTGCGACACGTCTGAGCACTACTTCTGATTGACACTTCTGAGCGACACTTTTGAGCGACACCTGATGATGAACCACACTTTTTCTGATCGACACTTCTGAGCAACACTTCTGAGCAACACTTTTTCTGATCGACTTTTCTGAACAACACTTCTGAGTGACACTTCTGAGCGGCACTTCTGAGCGACACGTGATCAACACTTCTGAACCACACTTTTTCTGATCGACACTTCTGAGCAACACTTCTGAGCGACACTTTTGCTGATCGATTTGTCTGAGAAACACGTCTGATCGACACTTCTGAGCAACACTTTTGATCCGCACTTCTGATTGACACTTCTGATCGACAGTTTGAGCAAAACTGCTGAACCACACTTCTGATTGACACTGATGAGCAACGCTTCTGATCCAAATTTCGCATCGACAGTTCTCAGCAATACTTCTGACCAACACTTCTGAGCCACACTGCTCATCAACACTTCTGAACGACATCTCTGAGCAACATTGCTGGCGACACTTCTGAGCAACACTGCTGAATTGACACTTTTGAGCGACACGTCTGAGCAACACTTCTGATCGACACTTCTGACCGACACTTTTGAGGAACCCTTCTCATCAAAATTGACACTTCTGAGCGAACTTTCTGAGCGACACCTGATCAACACTTCTGAACCACACTTTTTCTGATCGACACTTTTGACCAACACTTCTGAGCGACACTTTTTCTGATCGACTTTTCTGAGCAACACTTCTGATCGACACTTTTGAGCAACACTTTTGATCCGCACTTCTGATTGACACTTCTGATCGACAGTTTGAGCAACACTGCTGAACCACACTTCTGATTGACACTGATGAGCAGCGCTTCTGATCCACACTTCTCATCGACAGTTCTGAGCAACACTTCTGACCAACACCTGATCCACACTGCTCATCGACACTTCTGGACGACACTTCTGAGCAACACTGCTGATTCGACGCTTCTGAGCAACACTTCTGATCTACACTTCTGAGTGAGCAACACTTCTGACCCACACTTCTGACTGACACGTCCCAGCGACACTTTTGAGCGACACTTAACCACACTTTTTCTGATCAACACTTCTGAGCGACACTTTTTCTGATGGATTTTCTGAGCAACACTTCTGATCGGCACTTCTGAGCAACACTTTTGATCCGCACTTCTGATCCAAACTTCTCATCGACAGTTCTGAGCAACACTTCTGACCAACACTTCTTGTACACACTGCTCATCGACACTTCTGAACGACACTTCTGAGTAACACTCCTGAGTTGACTGACACTTTTGAGCGACACTTCTGAGCGACACGTCTGATCGACACTTCTGACCGACACTTTTGAGGAACCCTTCTCATCAACACTTCTGAGCAACAATTGGCACTTCTGAGCGAACTTTTTGAGCGACACCTGATCAACACTTCTGAACCGCACTTTTTCTGCTCGACGCTTCTGAGCAACACTTCTGAGAGACACTTTTTCTGATCGACTTTTCTGAGCAACACATCTGATTGACACTTCTGAGCGAAAAATTTGAGCGACACCTGACCAACACTTCTGAACCACACTGTTTCTGATCGACACTTCTGAGCAACACTTCTGATCAACACTTCTGACCGACACTTTTGAGGAACCCTTCTCATCAAAATTGACACTTCTGAGCGAACTTTCTGAGCGACACCTGGTCAACACTTCTAAACCACACTTTTTCTGATCGACACTTTTGACCAACACTTCCGAGCGACCCTTTTTCTGATCGACTTTTCTGAGCAACACTTCTGATCAACACTTTTGAACACCACTTTTGATCCGCACTTCTGATTGACACTTCTGATCGACAGTTTGAGCAACACTGCTGAACCACACTTCTGATTGACACTGATGGGCAACACTTCTGATCCGCACTTCTCATCGACAGTTCTGAGCAACACGTCTGATCACTTCTGATCTGATCAACAGTTCTAGTTCTGAGCAACACTTCTGATCCACACTTCTGACAACATTTCTGAGGGACGCGTCTGAGCAACACTTCTGTTCGACACTTCTGATCGACACTTCTGAGCAGCACTTCTGATCGACACTTCCGAGCAACACTTCTGTCGACACTTCCGATGAGCGACACTTTTGATCGACACTTCTGAACGACACTTCTAATCGACACATCTGAACGACACTTCTGATGGACACTTGTGATCGGCACTTCTGAACGAAACTTCTGTCTCCAAATGCACCACAGCGAGAGCGATTCGACCCACCCAAAGCGCGCAGAGGGCTCACTTTGCGCGCTCAAAATGTGCACCGCGCCAAAAACACGCTTCCATGACGAATCCCAATGGCACACGCTTATCGCCTGAACGCGGACGGTTGCGAACGGTTGCGGACGGTTGCGAACGGTTGCGAACTCTGGAGCAACTCCTCGCGAACACGGCCTCCACCCCCAGACCCCCACTTATAAACGGGAACCCTTCGCTACGCATTCGGGAAAACCAGAGTCCCAGAGTACAGGGCCCTGCTACCAGCCGATACAAGCATAAAGCATAGATTTGCTAACTTTAAATACACCCGGGCAAAAGCCAATCTGCTCAGAATTTGCCATGCACTGCGGTGAATGAAACCATTCCTGCAACACAATCTCACAGACCTCAAGGAAAGGAGTCAGGGTTCCTCGCTGCTCATGGCGCTCCTTCAGGTCCAGAAACATGGCAACCTCTTGTGCGCCTTCCCTATGTTACAACCTTAGGGGAGTGGGGGGCCCCGAATTTCTTTGTGTATAATGTGTGCTTGGTCTACTTGCTTTGTATCTAGGAAACGTCAACCTTGAAATCTGCCCTTGACCGGCCCCTGTGAACTAGGATGCTACGACTCACGGATGAATATGATGGCCTCCGTGATGGCTTCCACTCGAGTAAAGCCCCAAATAGAAACAACATCACAAGTGCCTCATGTTCACGTTCAGCATCTTGTGTGCAGAGCTATGGAGAGTTATGCTAAGCATTTTGGGAAGCCTCACTGTCTGTCCAATTCATGGCGACCTCACCTGCGGTCAAACGAGCATACCCGTGGTAAACAGGGGTTCATGCAGGTGTTGGCACTATTACGGCTTGGGCAAATCATATGTGTTTGCATTTGAGAAAAACAAAATCCGGAGGGTTGGCCCGACATTGAAAACCCCGGCTGCCTGCTCTTCACACAGGCAGGCATCTTAAGGTGGCGGGTTGAAAGTCGTCTCCCTTTGACATCCTTCTTTTGAGTTGGTGAGTCGCAGCATTAGCACGGGCATGTGTAAAAGTGGAGCAAGATCTCACCAGCTTCGGATGAATTGCAATTCACCGGACTTTCACCACGCCAAACCACAGTTTGTTTCACCTCATTTGCTCACCAAACGCGATGCAAGACAACAACCTTTTGTTTTAGGGACGGGAAGCGATCAAAAAATGCAAAAACCATACCTCCCCAGAAGTGTTTAAGCGCTCCCAGAGCTCCCAGAGAAAAACAAAACACAGCTGTCAAGATTCAAACAACTGGCCTCATTATTTTACCATGATCAAAGTCACCCCTTAAGTGGTGGGTTAAAGCGAAACAACCCCATTTACTGACTTTGATAACCCCCAACAACCGTCAAAATAACGACACCTGAAAAACACCTCAGTGCGTTTCCCGCGCCGGGAGTCAGGATTTCACTTGGATGCTGGCGGACTCAATGAGGACTGCGATCAGGGACTCCGCAGCCGGCAAGACCTGGCCGCTCAAACCAGGGTACCCCCCCCCAAGCAAAAAAAAAGCTGCGTTGCCCTGGGTGCGGTTTTTTGAGCACCCACCTGAGACTCACCAGGTTCTGTGCCTTCTGAACATGGCAAGGGACTTTTTGCAGGAACCTCGGGATCCCCAGGGCCTTTCCAGATTTGACATAGAGTCAACTCTTATGAGGGGCTCATCCGAGGAATGGGCCCCCACAAATCCTGATGCTCATGTTGGGCGCGCGATGTCCAAGCATTTGTGCTTGCAGTCAGTTGGACCCTTCGAAGTGCTTTATTTCCTTTTGGGTCTCGGTTTGAACTATGCCTGTCAGAAAAGGGTCCGTGGTTTCAAGAACCCACTCATCCATCACGACATGGACGAAATCGATCCACTTCATGGCTGCCTCACCTCACTAGCTGCCGTGCCGAACGCACAAAAACGAGGAAACAAAACAACAACAACAACATGTGGTCAATCATCAGTAACCTTGGCAGAGCATGGACCCACAACGAAGTGCAAAGCTTGGCTACTTCCGCCGGACCAACAATTGAAAGCGCGTGCATTCATTCCCGGCCTAGTCTGCCCCGTGTCCATGAGGGAAGGAATACCATCTGGTTCGTGGAAAATGGAACTTTATAACATACACATGTGCATATATGCCTAAAGACTGTGTGGCACAAATTCTCGTACGCTCCGTGATGGCCGGCCGTCAAACCACAATCATTCACGGATTGGAAAGACCGGGAATTCAATTCCCAAGGACTAATGTTGATTTGCGGGGGTGTCCCCTTTTAGTGGGGATTCGTCGCTTGAGGGAACACCCCCCTAATAATGGGACGGGTTTATTCTCAGATGCCCAGTGGCCATGGGCAAAACACCCTTTTTGTGTTGGTTGAGTTTAAAGGGGAACCCTTCCCAACAAAAAAGAGGAGAGAAAAAGGCACCACTGGGCATGGGTATTCATCCTGGGTCAACATTACTTCGGAGCTCGTCTTACCTCCCCTTCCCCAACTTGCCTTCACGAACTCCCCGGTGAATGCCTGCCCCCCCCCCCCCCGTTTCTTCCAGGAAAACACAAAAAACAACTGCTGGAGTGTCCACCGTTTAAAAATGGCCTGGGTGCTGTAGATCCCCCAGCAAAAGGTTTCACCTTTTGCTGGTTAAAAAGGACATATTAGGAGAATCCAAAAAGTTAAAGTCTAAAGATCCAACCCACCAGCAGTAGAGATTGGGTCCCCTGAACGAAAGGGGCCATGCCCAGGGATGGGGACTCAAAAAAGACAAAATCCTTGACACACAGGGCGGGATGCAGAAAAGCCCTCTGCGAACTCCACCACTGCACTGGCTCCATTGGTTTTACCCTGAAAACTGACCTGGACACAGCGTGCCATATTTTGCTCTTGTTAACAAACACGGAGGGAATTCACACCAACCAGTTTGGTGTCTGAAGGCAGCCCATACCTGGACCTTCCGCTGCACCTTTGTCCCGCACGTTCGCAAAGACGCAAACATTTGCGCCGTTTGGCCGGAAAACGCGGCTTCGTTCCAAAAGTGCCTGTTCATTGTTGTCGCGCAAACCCGGTCGGGGAAAGTTGCCTTTTCGTCGGGGAAAGTCGCCTGTTGGTCGCCTGAAGCCGCCCTGACACACAGCTTTGTCTCAAATATGAGTGAGTGAAAATGCCAAAAGTGCCCTGAGCATAAACAAAAGCGGCGCTTGCCGCTTAAACAAGATGCTTTTCAATCAGGAAGAAGAAAGAAACTCATTGGAAAGCACCTCCATCCCTCTTCAAGCCTCACCCCGGCCGAAGAAAACTGGCTAAAGATTGGTCTATATCCTGTTGAGCGTGGCCGGCCAGGGAAATAGACGGATCTCTGGAAAACCCCATTCCACAGCCTCATCCTGAAGGCCTCTGTAAGATTCTATGATCAACTCACCCCAACCGGGCTCCCCAATCAAATAACAGGCATATGTATGCTATACTTAATGATTGCATAGTGGTTTGTGTGAGCCACTGTCAATATAGTCATTGTGCCAACTGACATGAGACCCATTTCTACTTGAGTGTGCGCCATGTTATCCTCTTTACCGCAGATGACAAATATTGATCATCCTTCATATCAATTATATAACCCATACCATCCCAGGTATGAAGATTTGGCTTGGAAAGCAGAAAGCATCTTAAGATGACTCTGCCGTTGTATGAAGCATGCAAACTATAGATCTCATGTTGCACATGTTTAGATGGAGCACGGAGTCTTAGTCAAACATTCCTTTGGCTCATGAGCATTATGTTCTGACCATCGCGAGAGGAAACAGTGCCCAGCTGAAAATAGACGGCTCGCCAAACTATATGTACCTCTTCCGCTCAGTAGAGCTTGAGAAGGGGCGGAATAAGACAAAGGTTGAAACACTTCCGCGGGCCATGCTCCTCATCAAACATGTTTAAGCCTCACCACGGCTTGTGAAACCTTCACTTCTGAACACTAAAGGCAACAGCCGTCTGCAGAACCCTCCTGTCAGAATCAGCGAGTCCCAGTAGCGAGGGCAGCTTGGATACCGTCCCAATCCACCCCATAAACTAATTACAAGCGCGCTTGCGTCAGCACGTGCATGCTCTGTACGTGCATGTGACACATGCAGCTTTCGCATAGCCCAGCTGTCTGTTAAAAGTGTAAAAAACAAACGGTTGCATTTCTAGCCCCATTCAGCTCCCAATTTGGGGTGTTCAGCTTCTGACAATGGGCACCCTAGAAACAGAACACGACCCTGCGCTGGCAAGGGTCAACTCCTTGGGGCTTCCCCATGAGCATGAATCATAAGAAACGATTCTCCTCCATGGGCGTATAGTGTGCCACGGGCGGGAAAAAGAAACACTTCCTAGCAATTGCCATTACCCTCTAAAAAGGCAATTTGGCAGACAAATATATAACAAGCTGCATATGAAACCTACGCAGTTGCTTCGCAAGAGCCATTTGAGCCATGAAAAACGGGAACACCTTTGCTCCACCCCACCCCCGCACCCACCCACCCCCTCACCCACCCACCCACCCACCCACCCACCCACCCACCCACCCACTCACCCACCCACCCACCCACCCACCCACCCACCCACCCACCCACCCACCCACCCACCCACCCACCCACCCACCCACCCACCCACCCACCCACCCACCCACCCACCCACCCACCGAGCCGAGGTCCCCACCCGAGGCCGCAAGAAGCCGGAAGCGAAGGCCTGGAGGGTGGGGTGGCTCGTCTTTTTGTGGGTACCTAGTTGCCCTTGTTTGGTTGATGTTTGTCCAGGGAAACCAAAAGGACAACACTCTTTGTTTTTCCTCAAAAAAAGACAGAGCCAAATGGTGGCCCCCTTTTTTATGGTTGGTTTGAGGGAAACTAAAATATAAGAAGCTCGAATGCAAGGGACCACCAGTTTAAGAAAAAACACATGTGGTTTCCATTGAAAGAGACTCACGAATAGCCCAATGGCCCCAACGGTCCTACGGTTCTGCAAATGGCTCTAGCGGCCAAATGTGTTCAATCGCCGAAATGGAAGTGTGAGGGATTCCAGAAGTATGAGCACCAACCAGCCAAGCGGGCTAGTCAAGGGTTGCTCACACGGAGTTTGGTGGTTTTGTAGCACTCCAAAACATACTCTTCCAATAAGGGTATCCTGCTTTTGGTTGAGGAAAAAACACTTCTTTTTGCTCATTGTTGTGCCCACTGTAACATTGGAGCTCACCAGAGTGTATATGGGGGCCTTTTCCGTGTATCAATAGCGTCGCTGCCGTCCCAATCAAGGCGGAACCAACTAGAAACATCGGTTAAGAGTTTTTTGCTGCAAGCTCATTTTTTGCTGAATGTGGCCGACTCCGTGATATCCCCGCCTTGGCCGCTGTCGCTGAAGTCAGCAGCACCTGTGCAAATGAAAACATATTAGTGTCTGCAAAAGTTGTGCGGCTGCCAGGTTGCCGCCAAATGGACGGGTAGCACAGAAGGATCTCCGCAAAAGATGCATGGTGGCTAGTCACATGCTTGTGCCATCAGAACTGTGCCAGCCCAAAGACCTTTCATAGCGGTTGTATCCTGTGCGTGGCAACCTTTCAATCAAATCAGCTCTACTTTGCATGACTCACGCCGTGGGCACGATCCGGCTCAGCTCAATACATTGCTTTCTTACCACCCGGACATTCATACCTTTCTGAAACTATTCCAGTCTGCCACCATACGAGAATGTGATTGACTCTGGAAATCGAAAGCACCTGTATGGCTATGGGTCAAATATAGGTACCCAAAATGGAACACTGGTAAGTGGCAACATGGGCCAAAACCTATGGTCCCCTGGTGGTTTAATTTTGACCCGCACCCATATTTAATATGACAGTGTTTTGGACACAAAGCCTTTGCCATTCTCAGGGCCCAGGTCAAAGTAAACCCAGCGCTGAGCCAGCGGCCGGCACGTCGGACACGGCCTCAATCGTTGCATGGTGGAGTGGCCCAACAAACATTCCCGATTTGGACCCGTAACCCTTATTCTCCTTTTGAAGGGGGGCACAAAAGGATACATACAAAAAGACTTCTCCTCTTTGAACAACCCTCACGTGGTCTCCATGCATTTTCGGGGGTCTGTCTTGTACTTAAGCTCGCAGAAGTCAGCCAGGAATTGTTTCGACACTTAGACGGTAGCCACTCAAAGCTTGTCAGTCAGCTCGTCACTCCGGAGAAACGCAATGAAGCCTGTTGCTTAACATGAAGCACAACAACTACCACACAATGTGAGCGAACATGCGTGCACGGTACGAGCTTGTTGTTGTGTGTTTGCGCGTGGGCTCTGTCATGTCATAACATGCAATCTGCCTGAGGCCCTGACTGAATCTGACTTGCCACCCTCGGCAGAAGCAGTCACTGTTGTCAATCCAAGGTTGCAGGGCCACAAGAAGTGCGCAAGCCGGCGCAAAACGGTTGCAACCGGTTGAACTCCACGGTGAATATGAGAACAGCAACTCCGAATCATTGTTCCATTAGTTCCTATAGCCCACTACAACAAAGCGAGTTGCCCTCAAATCACAACCACATTTCGGCACAACACACGCAGGGATCATCGTCCAACCCAACCCAACCCAACCCAGCCCAACCAAACCCCACCCCAACCAATCACACCCCCCCCCATCCCACGTCAGCTGAAACACGCCTAGACCGGCACAATCAACCTCAACCGCCTCCATCTACCCCCACCCAACACACAATACCAACCCAACTCAGTCCCTCCTTTAGGCATTTAATGAAGGTCCTGCTAAAGTCTTCGTACCAACTCTGCACCACTGAAGACTCAGCTCCAGACCAGTCGGTCTTGCCTCAGCGCAGGCTGGGTACCGGCTAACTCGGGCTTTTGCTCTGCCATTTGGTGGACAACGGCCCGTATCACACAGGCTGGCTGTTTGTTGGTGGTACGAGCATGTTGGATCTGTTTCCCTGGTTAAACAAACTGGATAGTCTCCACGGTGTGTTGTACTTGCCAAACGATCCAGTCAAGCGGTCATGGGGAAACACAGGATGCCCAGTTCCACCACAGCGATCAGGGTACTGATGCCACGAGTCAGCCTTTTTCAACAGGGCCAATCATCTTTGCCATGGTTTCTAAAAGTGGAAGGGTCAGCCAGGGCTGCCAATCATCTTTAGAACCATTTTTGTCTACCAGTAAAAGGGAGCTGGAAAACGCAAAGGCGCACAGGCGGGATGAGCTCTGTGAAGCACGATGAAGGCCACTCCGAGGCTGGCACGCCACATTGCACATGGTGTGCAAGAAGGAGGCGAGGTACAATGCCACATAGGCCTGGCGCTTTTGTTCCTTTGTTCTTTTTCCAGCGAAGCCAGCAAAACCCGCCACCAAAACCAAGGTTGACATCACACAGGGAAGGAGAAACATTGGCACGTAAGAGGAAGCCAAAGGAAGCGGAACCTATTTTCTGTCCGGGGTTGCTCATCTTTAGAGGCTGGAAGCTGGCAAACTCTGGCAAACTAGGAGACCTTTGCCAGATTGAGAGTCCTATGCCCTAATCAGCCGAAGCGATGCTCAGCTGTGCTTCCCCAACCCACAGCAAAAAAAACAGCTTGGCCAAGGCATCACAGCATATTGTTGATGGCGAGCTGCGTGCGAGCGTCCACCTCTCAGATCAGTATCAGCGCATGGGGCCAAGAAAGGAAACCACATGCTGATTTCCAAGCAGCTCTTGGGCTGGGCAATATCTTCAAAATGTTCCTCTAACTTGTGCAGAGTGAAACCACGTACCTAGCCAGAGTAATCCAGCTGGCAGGACCACCTCCTTGTACAGTTTCTGGTGGAAAAGCTCCACCTCCGCCGAGTCCCAGCTGACAATCCGGAAATCAACACATACTTCTGAGTCCCTCAAAATCTGAAAGGAACGTCGCCCTGAGAACCGGAATCTTCGCTTGGGGCACTTTTGTCTTCTTGCATGGGCTACATTGGTATGGGTTAAAATTCAACCAAAAGGGGGACCAGGGTTCCCAAAATAGGTATTTGGGGTACCGATTTTTGACCCACACCCACATGTTCATCTGCAGGGCAGTACGTGCTCAGCGGAACGGCCGGCCGTGGACCATGAGCTTTCATGTCACTTCTTACATGGGTTCTCTGAACTGTGTCCCATCAAACCGGAAACCCAATAAGCTCAGAATCCCACAACAAAGGGATTGACTAATCCTCATATTGTTCTGTGCCCGACATATGACAAGCTGGTGCTCAAGCCAAGGCTGACGTCCAAATGATTGATATACATGTCTCCTATATTATATTGGGACGAACATCAACGTCTGTCCGGCAGGGAGCGTATATTTCACATGACCCATGCCGAACTCCAGTGACTTGGAGATACTACTTATGCAAGAGGGGCAATGTCATTTATGCCAAATTAGCATGTTGCACAAGTCATGGTGCGGCTTCAGAAGATTGCAGCTAGTGTTGCCCCACCAGCTCGCTCAGAGGGCAGTTCTGCGTTTGCGTGGGCTGTGCCGTCAGCCCTGGCTGGCACTCGCTGGAGAAACCAAATGCGTGTCTTGAGATTGGTGAGCAGCTTTGCTTCGGCTATTCAAAAGGAAGCGCAAACCATTCCAGGCGATGCAAGGATCCGGAAAGAACACAAATCCGTCCCGTTGCAGTACTTCAGGAGGAATTAACAAATGTGGTTCATTTTGCCCAGCATTTGGATGAGATGCCTCGGTATCGATACACGCAAGCACACACACAAAATAATCACAACAATCAACAACAAACCCAGAAACAATGCAACAACAGCTTTCTCACACACACACACACAACCAAACATGGCTCTGCCAGCCAACAAACTATCTGACATGTATAGTGGACAGCCTCTCGCGTGGGACGGGGAGACCACACATTCTCTCTCCAAGTACTCCCAAACGGGAGCGAAACATCAAACATGGACCGGACATGTCTCAAATCGACCTCACCAAACTGGGTATTTGAAACATAGTACTTTCCTTGAGGTTTCCTTCGGGTCAAGTTGAACGCCCATGGGATACTTCGCGCGCGCACGGGAAGCTCATTTCAACGCAACTGACAGGTACAGCGTGCACCACTGAGAAAACACCCCAGCACCCGCCAGCAGCTCCGAAGAAACTGAACATTTGCCTATCCTTTTGCGCATGAAACATCGCAAGAAAGCACAGCCCTTCGCCCGTTTCTTTGCAAGCCGCCAAGAACTCGCGCTGCTTCTCGATGTCTCCGGGCCTGCATGAGACATGTACCTTTGTGTCCTAACCTAGGGGACCCAAAATTCGGCCAGTTCGCCTTTTGGCCGGCCTCAGGATTTGTTGGGCATCTACTTCTCACATGCCGTCAACCACTAGGTTTAAGAGGTTGCAAACCCCGTGGCAGAACAATTGTCAATGCTGGGTCTCTGGCTTAATCATGGGAATCGAAAAAGACTCTCGCGCTCGCTGTCATGGTCATGGCTCCGTTAAAGGGAAGCCTCACCACGGTGGTCTGAGATCCAAATTAGGTTGACGACCTGCAAAATGCCCAACTTGACTCAGTCTTTGGATATGTAGGGGAGGGTGCTTGGAAGAGCGCGAGGTGCCATGTCATCCCGGAACACATCCACAAACGAGTCTCAACCATTGATCCACGTATGTCTGTGTCTTAAAATAGCGGAACACCCAAAATGCAAAATGCAGTGCTTCCTTTTTGGTGTCCCTTTAGAAAAGGGGTTCCCCCCCAAAGAAAATGGCACCCCCCACATCTTGGAAAGCTTCATGGCCAGTCTTGGGTTGCGTAACCCAACACACCAAAGGGGCTCGGTACGCCGTAGGCGCCTTAGGCGCCCCGGCTGAATCCGATCCGCCTGGAGGCGGTCCATCGCCTTCGACGTGCACTTTGAAGTGAGCCCTCCACGCGTGCGATCTCCCTGGAGTCTCCTTCTGACCCTAAAAAAATGGTTGGCCATGACCCAAAATCATTCGGAGTCATGAACCCATTTTTGAAGGGTCATGGAGACTTCAGGTAGAAGATACATGAGAAATCACCTCCACACCTCCACCCCGAGCTCGAAGCCGCCCAACATCCTTCGGGGTCATGGACCCATTCTTGAAGGGTCAGAAGGAGACTCCATCTTGTCAAAGTCACCCCTGTTCAGCAGGTTGAAGGGAAGCAACCCCAGTTTCTGATTTTGATACAGGTGCCCAGATCTAACAAACATCGAAACAAAGGCATGCATTTTGGAGTGACCCCCACATGTGTGGTAGATATTTAGCACAATAAGCTTAGTTCAGTAGATGTGGTCATTTCAAGATTGAATCCCAACTAGCTTAGAGTTTGCGTGAGAATTGGCCTGGACAAGCGCACCACAAGGATACCAAACATTATTAATCATTATTAATGCTGCCCAAATCGATCAACCAAATGAATTCGACAGGGCTGAAGCAACACTCGCATGTTCTGAATTCACGCTGACAAGTTTCATGGAACCCAAAACCTCCGTCTTAGGGATCATTTTTGCGGAACCCTTCTTGGGATTCCTTCTCAACTGATAAGGGTCGCATCAATCGTGAGCGTCAGAAGTTCATTTGCCCAAAAGACCTGCAGAGCAAATGGTGGCTTGACTACATATGGTGGTTCCTTTTGAAACCGCGCAAAGGCTGCAAAAGGCTTGAGGAGCGGCTTTGGGGTGGACTGGCTTTTTGTGGGGCGGGGGGGGGGCGCAGATCTGGGCATGATTTAGGGAAAGATTTCGGGATAGCAAGTCTCAAATAAGTTACTTGTTCGGCATCAACAGCCACTCTCCTGAGAAGGGCGATTCCCACCAACAAATGATTAACACGCACGCCCAACTGCAAACCTGCTCAAAGGAACTGGGACTTTTGTCAGCCGTGGGTAAGCTGGCCCACAAAGTCAAGGTTACACGAGCAGAATGTAGAATGCGTCCTGTCTGTTGCACTGTAACTTGCCCTGTGCACCAGTAGGCTGGGGGCAGTGGTGAAAACAGTCATTGCAAACGCGGTTCTGATGCGTTGATGATACGTCTGCTGTCAGGGCCGGAAAGCTGCCGTTCGCAGTTGGAAGCATTGTAGAACGTGTGCACGTTCGGTGGGTCATCAACGGGGTAGGTTTTGGCGTGCTTTAGGATCTGAGTGGAGGCTGAGGGTAGGCTTGGCTGGGTTTGAGGCGGGCACACGGTGGGCATGCCTTGGGCTTTTGAGGACTGCCTTGTGGCTTGACCAGTATCAGAGGTCCAGGGAGCCAAAGGACCCTGGGGCCCCCTGAGGAAACCTGGGGACCAGCGGACTGGATAAGGCAAAAACCTGGGTGTTCCCATGAATGGACCTTTGGTTTGAACCGCCCCTGCCTTCCCGGACACTAGCCAGTTCGGTTAGGCCGCTAGGCCTTCACAGTATGCCTTTCACTTTTAACCCAGCAGCCACCAAATTGGGTCCCTTGAATACGAGGTTTAGGCATGTGGGATTAAACCAGCACAGTAAGCCAGTTACCTTAGTAGGTGACCAGCCAACTTGCCCGTAGATTCTAAATGCTGGTTCCCTTGGTTACCATGTCAATGGATCCACTTAGTTAGGCACACCCGGTGCGAGGCAACTCGGCACGCCTCGAAGGACAGCAGAGGCGAAGGCAAACAGTCCAGCCAGACTTTCAGGCAACACCTTGGTGTGTCAAAACGAGCTCCAATTGGAGTGGTCTGCGGTTCTTTCAAGTTGAGCAACGCTGATTGCTTTTGAGAATGAGCCAGTTGTTCTGCAAACCATCACCAGCAAATTTGGATCCCCAAAATGAGGCTTTTATCGGGAAGTCATGGTAGTCAGGAGTGTATGCTTCAGTTTCATTTTAGGCCAACCCCAAAATCGAACAAACGTGCTGGCACAAGCTCTAGCCAAGGAAAGTGCTCTGCGACATTTGAATGGTGTTTAAAGAACCGCTGACATGAAACCAACCAATTGGGCACCCTCTTTTCGGAAATAAAACAAATACAATTATAGTAATAAACATATGTGTTAAGATCCCAGGAAATAAATCTGCCCATCAGTGGTTGGACTCTCGGTGACCGCAGGTGGCCTATCAAGTATATGTTGTTCGAAATTCCCCTTCTGATAGCGATATGCTAAGCTGGTGAGTTGTCTTGAACCGTTTTGCTGGCCAGTGAGGATTTGTTGTTTTTTTTTCCCCCAACATGTTGAAGGGTTATATATACCGGCCACACCAATGGGCCGACAACTTTTCTTTTCAACACTCACCATTCGCTGGCCCGAGACTCCCTGGTTCGTTTAACATTTCCTGAACACAGGGGTCACCCGCCAACACATAGCACTACTAAATGCAGGTCCAGTCAAAATTGCCATACAACTGCAACAATGATTGATCCTGAAAGAGAAAGTAGGGGTCACCGAATACCCTGGAAGTCAACTTTCAATTACACCACCACCCCCCCTCACCCCCTCCCATTCTAAAGTCTAACTATTTTAGTCCTTGCAAAACAAAGGTGGGACGGACGGGCCCTTGGAAGCACATCGCACTTCTCGGCCGCGCGTCGGCCGGGGGCTGCGCCAAAGCAAAGCTGGGTCCAGCTCCCGCGGCAAGGGGCAGCCCGTGTCGATGATGTTCAACTCAGCGTGTTTCGTGGCCGAGAGCCCCCCAAACCAACGGTGGGGTTGTTCAATTCTGTGTTTCCCGTCACTTCTTGGATGGGGAGAGTGGGTGGTTCAATTCCGTTTCCCGTCACAAATTGGATGGGGAGAGCGGGATTACTGTATGATTCCCGTAAGTGTTGGATGTTGGAGTGGGTGGTTCAAGTCAGTTTGTCCCGCCAATCTTGGATGTTGGGGGTTAACTTGGGCACGCTTTGTGACGGAAACCAGCGACGGCAAATGTCTGAAGTTAGCACAATGACCAGCAAAACCACCGGTTAGGCGAACTTCCCTTAGATGTCCCCCCCCCCCCATGTGAATATATACATATATATATACATATATACACATACAGCCTACATACATGTGCAGCATAACAAGCAACATTTCACGGGCAATGTGGATAGCCCTCCCCCGTTTAGCCTATGCACGGACACATAGACGGTACTCCAGTGCAATCCCTAAGGTCCACCAACGATTCCTCCCCAGCTTGTCCTTTGGTTGTGCTACAGCTCTTCCCTTTGCGACGCTCATAAGGAGTGCCTCCCTAAAGTTCTGAACCTCAATGCTGGTCCAGGGTGCAGCCTTCAACAGAAGCTGAGAGATCTCCAAGCGGAGGACATGCGCATGTCACAAACATCTTGCGGTATCTTCATCGACCCCTGCATCAAAATCCAGCACAGCGTTGCTAGCAAATCATCTTCTGAAGGGGTCCGGAATTATATTTCACAACCGCGGCTTCCTAGCCCGCAAGCATAGCTCATGCGTACACACAAACGTGTTGACACACGCACACACAAACACGGCTACACCCACAAGCAACAAAACACATATGACAAATGAAAATACTAAGGCAGTCCGCCAGTCAGTCAGTCAGTCAATCGATCAATCGACCGATCAATCAATCAATCAATCAATCAATCAATCAGTCAGTCAATCAAATCACATCAAATCAAACCAACCAACCAACCAATCAGTCAGTCAATCATTCAATCAAAGCAACCAACCAACCAATCAACCCATCAAACAAACACACAAACCCCCACAAACAGGGAAGACACTCACCATAAAATATGCAGGCACCGGTCCCAGCAGCACAAAGCATTGAAAGAGAGAAAACATATCTCAATAAAAACAAAGAATATCATCACACAGCGAGCGACAAACCTGCATGCCCGCACGTACACACACACACAGACTGCACACAATACCAGCTACAGAAAACACAAACGCACACAATCCAATCATCAACACATAAAACACAAACATGCAAGCAAAGCAAAGCAATGCAACCATACAATCCAACAAACAAACAAACAAAAGACAAAACAAATGAACGATCAATTAAACACACAACAAAAAAACCAAACAAACAAACAAACAAAAAAACGAACAAACAAACAGCCAAAGAAACAAACAAACACAACAAGCAAGCAAACAAACAAACGGGCCAACAAACAAACAAACAAAAAACAAACGTCAAGAAACTCCCAAAAAAACAAATATCATCCCCAACAACACATAAAAAAACCAAAATGCAGACAAACACACAACAAGCAATAGACCCATATGAACCAACACATGCACACGCCAACACGCCTGTTCACATTCACCTGTTCACATTCACAAAGCACTACCAGCAACAAGCACAAATGAACGAGCGCATGCGCACATGTGCACATATCTAGCATGAGTACTATACTTCAATGCGTATCTGTGTGAGCCGCTACAGTCATGCGCGAACCTACAGCGCCTCCCATGGATAGAAAAAAACAATATCAATCGTCTGCCAACAACTTGGAAGCAAAAACAACATATTAAAAGCAACATGTCGTTACAAACATGTCGTTCAACAGCAGTTGTTGTAGCATGCTGCCACGTATAACTACATTAATTCTGCGTGTAGGTAAATGTCCCACCCAGCCATCCCGCTGTGATTCTTACAACACAAATGCTGAGATGTAGGACCCTAGGATGGTGTCCATATTCATGTGCATGTGGACAAATACTTATTGTACGAAACAAATGGAAAGAACAAAAACAAAACAAACGGAGAGTAGTGTGTTGTGGGCCGTGGCTAACAAGTGATTATTTGGACATGGCGCACATTTACCAGTCTGCTTCGTTTCCCTCCAAAAACAAACGCGGAAACACAGCAAACATATGTGTAAATCATGCATGTGTATAAATATGCATGCTAGTAATATGTTGCTTTGCGCAAACGGATGGCATAAGCTTGTCCTGCCCTCATCCCTCGGGCTCTGGGCCAGGTTGTGTACAGCAGCTCCATCTACATCTCAGAGACAAGGGGCGCTTCATCGCTGAAAAAATAATCGGCTTGCGATGTGCACATGGGAAACCAGTGATTTGGAACTTGGAAGTATACATCTAAGCATGGTATACTTCCAAGACATGGACTATTGTGTCATCTTTAACGGGACTGGGATACCACTCATTGCTCAAAACTCGACCTCTTGGTTGCACAGTGACCCTGGTTCGAACAAATGGGACCCTCTCTGGGTCTGACCACGTGGGAACTCGCATGGGTATCGGTATCCTCCAGAATGTGATTCTGATTCCACGGAATCGCTCAGGTTCATCCAGGTTCCACATGAACCAAACGGAGTCCAACTTGAAGGGAGCCAACAGGAAAGTGCAAAGGAAACCAAAAAGGGAGCAGCAAGTCCCCTTGTATTTCCCTCAAAAAGCAACACCCCGCGCAAAGGAAGCCCATTCCAAATGGGCCCAACTGGGCCCAAAGGTGCTATTCAAACCAAAAAAGCGGCTGAAGCCCTGCAAGGGCACCCCAAATGAAACGGTAGAAACATGGACCAGAACCTGCGTAAGCCTCCTGTTTAATTTTGAGCCCACACCCATAGGTACTATTCAATTCAATCCAAAAAAAAAAATGGGAGCCCTTGGAAGGGTTGGACTCCGCTAAAATCCTCGCCATCCGAACTCCTTGGGGCGTGTGCCAAAGAGCCGGCCGAACTCCTCGTCGGCCGCCTCCCTCTCCAGGCCCTTGACTCGGCGCCGAGTTGTTCGCCTTTTGGCGCCTTCATTCGGCTGTGGCTCAAAATGTGGTACCAACATGGCAGCTTGGCAAATGGAACCAAAGACTCAAACCCGCGTAACCCCCAGCTCTTGAATTTTGAGCCATGCCCATTTGGCTGGGATCCCATTTTGGGGGATTGGAGCACCACCCATTTTAGTCTATTTTAATAAAGATTGGGATGTTCACTGGGGCTACGGGATTTTGACCCACACCCATTCGAAAGGAAGGAAAACACCACCCACAGGGGCTTCTTCACTTTGAAATCACTGAAAAGTTGAAATCCAGGGGAAATCCCTGATTCAAATGTAGAAGGATCTAGTTTCCGTACAAAGGGAGTCGAAGGAAGAAGACCTCTTTGCGACTCAGCCCTCCCTCACCGACCTTTTGCCTAGCAAAATCAAGCCCCGGACTTGGCCTCTGCAGTTTGCTGAAGACGCTAGTGGGAAAAAGGTATCACCATTTCCCACGTTTAAAGCAGGCAGGAAACTAATGCTAATGAAATTTCTCAAATTGTGGTCCTCTGATGTCTTTCACAAGGGAATGCCAGTTAGTTTGCGCTTCCTTCGCCGGAATGGGAGTTTGAGCTTGGCAAGCTCGGGATCAACAACATTACTTCCACTGGACATCTACGGAAACTCTTCCCACTCCCCCTCTGGGAGGACTTGCACCACGTGCGAAAACTCCGGGGGAACAAAAAAAACAATTTGACAGCAGGTCAGCATTTTCGCTTGCGTAACAGACACACGCGGAGATGCGCACGCGCCTCGCAAAGGAAGATCACCGCGGGTGGGAGCTTGGGATACCAGCCTCGGGTTCATTTGGGTGTGCTTGAGTTGGCACCCTGTTTGGGTTTGCTTGGTGAGAGAAGCAGGGAAACGATCCAGTTTGGTTGTCTTCTATTTTAGCACACCCTTTGCACTCTTGTCTGTCAGATGTAGGGTCTCGGTTTGAAAGGAGTTTCACTTCAATAAGCAGGCTGGAGTGAGCCACCTGCAATGGTGATGGCTGGATCCAGCAGAACGCTCAAACACATGAAGGAGGCATGTTGAGCACAAGCACACAGGAGGGAGGCCGTCAGAATCACAGACCCCGGGTTTGAAGCCCCTCTCAAGGCAGAACACCAGATTCCCTATTTCTGACAACCCCCACAGGTCACAGTTGCTGAAACGCCATTGGCAGAGGGCGTGGCGCCCTGTGGTCTTGTCGGTGTAATCCACGCCAAAGGTATTGCAGATGGCCCTGGCGCTGAAAAAATATCCAAGCTGCGCTGAGAATAGGCTGAGATAAATGAACAGCATACATCTTCCGGCTGTATTTATCTTGTATCCGCAAAGGGAACAGGAAGGAAGGGTCCCTCTTTTGGTAACTCTGCCATCATCCCATCGCTCAGTTTGAGTTTATCGGGGCCACGCCCGTCACACCTGCCACACGATTTGGAAAGAGTGGCCTTGCTAGGGCTCATGCACCGCCATCTTGGCAAAGAGAATGCAGGTTTGCTGGTGGCCATCCTTGAGTGCCTTGTAAGTCCCAAAAGAAGCACATTGTCGGCCGGTTCCTTTCAAAGTTACCAACATGAGTTGCCCAGTGCTTTCAATCAGTTTAGTGGAGAAGACCGCTGGACACACAGGAATGAGCACTTTTGATGGCAACATACTAGTGTTTCTCCGTTGGCCCTTCATTGACATGCAACACACACCCATGACTCACGACGCTTCTTCCCAACCCACCAATCGGGAGGATAAACCCAAAAAGCACAAGGAAGTGAAGTTCAGTGAAGTCTGGCCACCCATACAGTTTGAGTTGGGACCCCATGCGGGGAAGTCGAGTGGACCTCATACCTTGCCCGCGGATTGCTCCAAATGGAGGCAATAATTACTCTGGGCATCCTGAGTCCTAATCCATCCATTATTGGGACACCAAGACATCAAGGGAAGCCACAGCCGTATCCCTGGGGCTCAAGCAACCAATTAAATGAATTGGGGTTTGTACATAACCACTATTGCTTACCAAAGGATTGTCATCATCTTGATCAATTGGGTCAGCCAGTAATTTTCATGGGGGCTGAACCCTAAAATATGGCAGGTCAAGGATTGATCTTGAGCAACCCAGTGACCAAACCCACCGGACTCCGCCCCTTTTAGCGCGCATCCGCTTCTTGCGCTGCTCACTCGGATGGCCCAAAGCGCTTCGCCTGCCATCCAAGACAGGGGGGGGAAAGCACTGGAAGGGATGGGGGCCGCAAGATGAGGACACACACACACACTTTTTGTTTGGTATCAAAAAAGAGAAAATTGGATCAGATTGCCGTCTGAGAATGGTGATTCGGGGCTTTGGATTTGGATTTGAACCCCTTGTTTCTCAGCCCCTGACCTCATCCAAATCAGCCAGGCTGATTGAAGGCACAACCCGATTCAAAAAGAGCCCCCAAATTCGGAGAACCACTGACCGAGTTGAGGTCCACCAAGAAGCTCACCAGGCTGATGGATTTTCCAGTAGCTGAACACCACGAAAACCTCCATTCCAAGGCAGCAATAGCAAATCCCAGTGGTGTCAACCATGTAGCCCTCGGAGTACCACTGTGCCCTTCCTGTACCCTTTTTGGTAGGCACCTCTCTACATTTGTCAATCCCCCTCGGTATGAATGGACCAGTGTGCGCATGTCGTCTTATTTCGCTCTGCTTTTGGCCCTCTTCTGGCCATCTGCTGGCCACCCTTCATTGGATCTGTTTGGGGTGAATATGTGCCATCTAGTTTTCCAACAAAAAGCTCTCCCACACACGGCCTGAGAAGACCATGTTCCTCTTTAAGTTACCTTTTTGGGGTCTGTGGGAGGGCCGCTCCGCCTCCGCCGCAGCTCCCCCCGATGCCTTTTTCATCTGCTTCACCGTCTCCAGATCTTTCGCCTTCCGCTTCCGGTGATCGATGATCTCTTCCCTCCGCTTCTCGCGCAACTGGAAGCGGTAGAAGTCCGGCATCTCCTGGGGACATAGGGGAACTTTGCTAAAAATGGTGGTCCCCATTCAAAAAAAAGGAAGCCAAAAGAAAAACCAACCTTTTTGACCCCAATTTTGAGAAAAACCATGGGTTTTGCTGTTGCATGGTACTGTAGGGGTTGATTCACCAGCCTTTGCAACCATCATTCCAGTCCTGTTCCTAGCTTTCGAATGGTCAAGGTACCACTTGGCACCTGCAAACTGGGCTTTGGTGTCACTTGGGTTGACCATCATTCACGACTGCCAGCAGTTCGACACTTTGACTTTTGTTCATTCTTGAGGACCCCAGCTTCATGCTCGCTGTATGTCGGCCTTGGGTTTTTGCAATGATGGCTATCTCTCTGGTTGCGTTGTAGACATCCAAAAGTGTCACCGCCCCATGGCCTCACAGCCTCCTTCCTGAAGAGACACCACTCAGGAGTTGATCTGCATTGCATTCCTTTTACTGGCTACCATTGAAGCTAGGATTCCCACCATGAGCAATGACGCCACCAACCCTGAAGGCATGAAGGAGCCAAAACCGAGAATTTCCCCACTGGCCCAAAGAAAGCCATAGGGACTTCTACACCAACGGTCCTTGCAAGGGCCAAGGGAGCATCACGGATCTATTTCGCCACCACGACTTGAGAGAACCGTTCAACTGTCCCTGGCAACCAGAAACCTATTCCTCCAAAACTGTGACCCCTGTCCCTTAAAACCAACCATTTCCCACAAAGACCCCAGGTCCTTCGAAACCAAAAGGTGTGATGTGTTTTGCTTTTTGCAACATATATGGCTTACGCAAAATCAAACAAAGCGGTGGCCCAACCTACGCTCCGTCCATGAACGCCAATGGTGGTTCAAATGATTGTAGCGAAAACAATATTAAGAGGGAAACCAACAGGAAGCTCGCCACGGACCCCAAAATGGGTTTCTGTTTCCTTGTAGTTTCCCTAACCAACCCGTTCAAACAAAGAGGTAACCCAACCCACCCCACTCGTGGCCAGGAGTCCTTGGTCTGACCCTCGAAACATGAGAACAAAGTGGCCCAAGCCGCTCGAGTCATCCCTCCTTGGTCTTCTTCTTCTTCGCCGGCACCTTGGCCTTGGCCTGGATGGCCTCTGCAAAGGCCCCGGTCTTCGGCGCCTCGCGCTTGGCCCCCCGGATGGTGAGCCCGTCCGCCGTGCGCGTGATGCCGGACACTACCTTGGTGAAGCCGTCCTCGTCCACCTGGCCAGATCAGAAAATTCACCACCTGCTAGCCAGCGAAAATGGGCGCGCGGTCCTGGTCTTTGTTGGAAAATGGGGGTTGAAATATGCTTCCCCACTCCGCAAGATGCGATGATCCTGGCGATTATTTGGAGTTATAAGCTCGAAGCCTCCATTTATTCGGGTTCACTGGGTTTACAACTAATTTACCCAACCCAGATTTCCCAGCTTGGGGCCTCACAGTCAAGGCAGTTTTGATAGCTTCCGCGCATGCTCACTGACCCGCAAGACGCTTCGCGGGATAGCGGGAACAATGCGCATGATCACCAAAATCAGCAAAAAGCAGGTAGCTGCAACATCCAGACGATCCCTGCCAATTTTGCTGGCCAGGCGTAAACCACAGTTTGTACAAACTACTTTCAACCAACAATTGGCGACATGCTGGCCTGTGATTCTGGCTCCGAACCTAACTCACGAGTCAAACTGCAGCCCTGGCCTGGCTTTCTCTCGCCAGTCTCTTCTTCTCCTCTTGCTTCTCATCATAGTTTGCCATCCACTCGTCGATCTCCCGGCGCAATTGCACTGGGTCCTTTGAGGGTCAATTAAGAGTTGAGTCACGGTCAATAATTATTCATTGAGCCCCCGTGCTTTTGTATGAGCCTGCCCCCTTCCCCCCCCCCTCCCGCCACTTCTGAATGGTTTGAGGTAAGTGTATCCCCACTCGCTCGTTTGTTCGTAAGCAACAATTCCAAGGAAATAGGTTGGTAAATGTATCCATGTGTTTCCCCACGCTTAGTGACAGTGACCATTGGCCCTTGCTGTCGTCTCCAGCGATGGCAAGTGCCCACTTTGGGATCTGGACGGGTTGGTTTTGGGAAAGTGACAACCGGCTGGGATTTGGTGCATGGTCTGAAAAGGGGTGCGCCCGTTGATGAGGTTACAAGCACCTCTTTGGCAAAGCAACTATCCAAGACCGCAAAGTGCAGTTCATCAGAATCGTGAGAACGGCAGGACTCAAGTTTGCCATTCTAGGCCAGGGCCAGAGATGCCCCCCACCCCGAGCCCCGCTTGGAGGTCGTCAAACAGCGCTACACCCATCAACAGACTTGGCCTACAAATGTGCAACGTTCCTCTGCCGGGATCTTATCTCGGCACATCACAGGAGAGGTCACAAGAAGGGCCCACAGGTCATGCGGCAATTGGTCAAGCACAAGGAACCAGCATGAATCCATGGATTAAGCAGCTTGACCACAGCGCAACTAGACATTTGCCACTGTGACTCCTGGAATTCCGGAGCCTGTGGCCTGCTGTCACGTTTCCAACCTGTTTGGGAAAGACGTCAGTACAAATCACCAAGTTGCAAGCTCCAAGCAACGCAACAAATCCCAAGGTTCTGGCTCTGAATCACTATTTGACCGTGGATCCCAATTACAGCTTGTTTTTTGAGTCAGAAAAACTGGCAATTGTCCTTTGGTTGAAGCGTGTCTCCTATGATTCCATGCAGTCAAATGGAATCACCGGAAGTGATCTGTCGAAACATTTCCTCGCAGCCCTTCGACGAGCAGCAGGATAGGCGGTCTTCCTAGCGCGTAGTCGCTCCTTCACAGGGCAGGAACATGCCCAGTTGCCAAGCGGTGGCAAGATTGCAAGGCCTTCAAAAAAAGGTTTCCTGTCATTGCTTCAAACCCTATCAAACATATGTGCAAACATGCAGGGTTCCCAACTGTTCAAACAGTCAATCACCACAATTGACAGCAGAGGACCCTGCAACAACAGGGCGTTAGCACAGCAACTTCAAGGTTGCTTCTGTTTATCTAGAAGATCATGCACTGATATTAACATTCACAGTTGGCACTCAGCGTCCTTTCTAACGCCCAAATACAATGCTTGCTGCCTAGGGTCCATGCTGATGGAGTTGGGGAGCGCCTTTTGGTTGGCTTCAAGGCAAGCCAGAAGAAACCAACCGACGGCCTCTTTGCGATGGAGATCTGCCCTCGTTGCGACATCCTTGAACGAACTCTCAAGGGCTCCTATGATTGTCACTGTTCCAACTAAATTGATTAGCCCACCTATATCTTAGATTGTCTTTACCAACTGCTGGGAATGTTTGCAGAAGGCAAACAAAAAACATCCACCCAATCAAACCAGCGAACTTAAAACCACCCCCGACGGTGTTCTTTTTCGCCTTGAGCAGCGACGCCGGCGCCGGCAGCACGGCGTGGCAGATCTTGCCGTCGGCGCTCTGCAGGGCCTTCTGCAACGACTGGACCTCGTGGATATTTTGGGGTCGCTTGCTAGGAAGCCAACGTGAAATCGCTGAAATATCACACAACCCCAAACCACGAAGAAAGCAAGAACACAAACAAAGCAAGGCATCACGTCCCACAGGCACTCAGCACAGCAAAGCCAAGAAATGGTGCGAAATTCGCCTCCTTGAAGGTGATGTGCGCAAAAACCACGTGCTGCTTCACGTGGTCTGCTCGCTGCTCCGCCTGACTTGGCTTCAAGGCGCAGGTGACAAACTGCTCTGTGGGGAAAGGCACTCACAGAAAGGTTTAGGAAGCATAATACGTTCTACCGCTCATGTTGGTATGTCATGTCCAGCCCTTTACATGGTCTTCCAGAGGTTTTGCTAGACGCTCATAGCGGATTTGTGCTTGGACATGTCCAACTTGCTCGTTTTGCTCCTTGATGAGGACAAATGCAATCCGGCGCTCATTTGCTCGCCCCCGAAAGCCAGCCAAATATCATTGTAAAGCTGTTCACTGCCAGAATGATTGGAAAGGGACTTGACTCCCCGAGGTTGGGGCAAAGATTCTTGGAACCACGACACTCTTGGGCCCACACATAGGTAGGTATCCCAACGCCCGTGGATAATTTATTTGTTTGGACTGGACAACTAGAAACAAAAGAGCAACCGACCAGGTGGAGTCTCCACTGTTTGGCCTGTGACCTCCCTGAAGATTCCGGGTTGGCCATGCTGTGGATGGACAGAATCCTGAGCCAGTTGGCTGGTGGTTTATACCAGTGTTCATAAGATTTCATGCCTCCCTACGAGTGCTGGATTTTGCCCATCCACAATAGAAGAACCTCTCACAAATACAGGTTTCCCCTGACGAAACATTTATTTCCTGAAAACAAGCAAGCAATCCAACAATAGCAAACGAGCAAACAAACAAGCAAGCAAACAAGCAAACACACGAACGGTGCAACAGGTACCCGCGTGCTTCTTGCCAGCTTCCGCCCTACATCTAGCCACTGTCAGCCGAGGCGCACATCATTTGTCGGGCAAATAATTACTACTAGTTTGCTGCTAATAAACGGCGTTAGTTGCTTCCCCTACCCGCCCTCAGATGGGCCCTGACTTGTCAGCGATACCCAGCCGGAGTTCTGTCACTACGTAAGTTCAGGGAACTGCAACCCGGTTCTCATAGTCCAAAGCATCCTAAATGCATTAAACAAAAAACAACTAATTGCATGTGTTTCTGTTTTTTTTTTAACAAACAAACACGCAAACAAACAAACAAACTCCGTTGGGGTCACCCAACCAGTCTGAAAGCTGTCGCCCCCCTGTCCCCTTGTTGGGCCTTTGGGGCTTTCTTCTCCACGCACTTGAGGTCCACCTTCCTCAAGGAGTCGGCCATCAAGTCCCAAAAATCACCCGCGTTGGGATGGCGGAAGGAGGCCCCAAGAGAAGATCACCGATCTCAAGGGCCCCGGATTTTGGGGAAACGCCCGCTTCAAATGGCAGGTCCTGGAACGAAGCTTCCTGCCCTCGGGTTGCGAGTCGCGGGCAAACTGCAGCGAACAATCTATTGAAGCTTCGCCAAGGGAAAAACAATTTCCAGCCCTCGCGAAGCCCAACACCCAAGACGCTCCACGGGGCCAAAGGCTGCGAAGGCCTTCTGAAGCTGCGCTTCCGTGGCGAAGGTGTCCTCAGCCATCCCGAACCAAACGGCAAAAGCTTTGAAGCCGACCGAAACTAATGGAAATCAACAGGGTTCAAACATATAACTTAGCCAACCAAGGCATGAGGGTCCCTTGGTACCTGAGGATGTACTTCAGGAGCCTACATGGGCTCCTTAAACGTATCCTTGGAAGTTTTTTTGACACTGGGAACCACTTGCAAATCATGAAGGGCACAGCAAGGAAAAACCGCCTTGGAATCTAGGACTGAAACAAGACAAGAACACATATCTACAAATTAGACTGCCATTCTCTTGGCTAATTGTTTGGGTGAAACAGAGCCAAGGAAAAACAAATGCCATGCTGAGTGTCCAAATGCGTCACGAAGAGAGTCCTCTGCGCCTTCTCCTCGGATCAATCAATCAATCAATCGATCGACGCCTTTGCCACTGAAGCAGTGTACTGGCACCCTACCCACGTCCAACTGCGCGGCCAGGGGCGAGATCGCTCGCTGCACCAGCTCAGGTCGCTTGCATGCTTGACGACTCATAGCAAAAAGCCATCTAAGGGCGAGGACCCAAGTTGCTTCCGAGAGCTTTCGAATTTCTTTGGTTTCATCGCGTTGCTTTCACGTTTCCCCTAGCCTGCAGCCAGGCAGATGCCATTGCAAACTGCAGTCCTTCTCAGCAGGATCCCTGGTCTCGTTCTTCTTGACCAAAAGCGTCCTAGCAACAGGGCACCCACAGTACAGCAAAATGGTTGGGTATCATGAGCAGCTGACACTGTCTCCATGTGCACATCTACTGCAAATGTGTGTTTATCATACATATGTATCATGTCATAATGCGTTTATGGAGAGAAGAAAAGTTACGAATTGAAACGTTCGAGGGCCAACGTCATATTTAGCCTAGAGCTGTACCCCAATTCACTAGAGAGCCTTCTTGGCCATATACCAGCTATTTCAGGCGACATATTTTGCGGAGTCACTAGAGGTACACCGTCAGTACACGAGACCGCATATTTCATCGAAAATGGGTATCTGCACAAAGTAGGTACGCGCGCCAACAACGCGTATATAACAAACACACACACACACAAGCACAACAGGGCTCCGTAGACCTCGTTGGGATGAACTTACACAACACCTCTTGTGGCCGAATTTACAGGGTGCTTCCTTCTGATGGGTGTTGACAGCATGAACATAGGTGCAACACTATACACAAAGTTGCTGGACTTAAGAACCAGAGGACTGACATCAACAAAAACAGCTCGAGGCCCTAGGCTTTTTGTTGTATCCTTTCCTGAGTCGACCCCAAGAAATCACACGTTGATCCCCTGCAGCTTCATACAAAGGAACCAAAGTCAAGCCGGAAGCTCGATTTTGAAGACGACGCCGACATCCGCGACAACTTGGCCAATCTTCAGCCCCCAATCTGGCTGTAGGTTCTTAAACAATACATCTTTACTGTGATCATGATGTACAGGGCAAGGATATATGATGTTAGCAAACCCTGTCAGGCAACATGGAAGCAAAGAGCTGGCACCGTTAACCCCTACCTGGTGATGGGCGAGTTGGGCATCATCGGCAGGCGCAGCAGTTTATAGCCACGCAGCTGGGCTGCCGGGGTTTTCTGCGCCATGGCGCGCAACGCGCGTGGCGCTCGCCCCGAGCCGGTGCAAAATTCGGGGCTGAAACTGGGCTGTCTCTTTTTCTATTGTCTTTTGTGGTTGAACGGTGAACACTTTAGGTTCAATACCTCTAATTAGAAATTTACACTTATAGGGAGCCAACAAACACTTGTCCTATAAGGTAGTTAGTCTAAAGAGGACTATCCTGGTCTGAAACCAAACCCGAGGTGAACGAATTTGCCGAAAGTCGGGGACATTTTCTGCTAACATAGCATGATGCTCCCTAGGTCTCAGCCCATTGACAAGAAGGGTCAATATCCAGTCAGGGTCAGGTTGGATTATAAAGGGGCAACCTACAGAAAACACTCAGGGACACATCTGGGAGCATGGTCTTCGAGCAGTTTTCAGTCTGGGAAACAGAAAAAGGCAGCGTCGAAGCCAAAGCGGACATCGGTTCAAGCCACCAACTTGACCTCCATGCTTCAGGCGAACAGTTGGCAAACGTCATGGGTGAACTTGTGTTTGGTGTTTTGGCCAACCCCTCTACTCAATACTCACCTGATCAGAGAAGTTCACCAACCTCACCTCAACATCAGGGGCGCAGCTCTTTGCAGAGGAACACCCTGGCTCCAGATCTTGTTTTCCTGCGAGAACCGAAGCCGCTTCACATCCGAGGTTCCTCTGCACCAAGTGGCCGATGCCACTACTCACGGCCGTTCATCCCCTATAATGCTCTTGTCAGGCACGGACCAAGTCCGACCCAGTCCCAGTTTTTTACTACACTTGCCTAGGCAACAAAAAGATTCACGAACAAAAATGGAACCCCATGGAAAGGAACCTTCATGGAAAGAATCATCGTTGCATCTACCCGAATCGGTGAAACCACGGCCCAGGCCTGATGGGGACCCCAAAGTTCACGGGCTCCTCGTCCCCATTCGTTGTCGCGTCCAAGCGCTGGATGACCTCGGGCTGGGCGGCTGGGTGCTGAAGGGGAAGCAAAATTGGTTTACCTGGAGTCTCCATGACCCTTAAACAATGGGTCCATGACCCTATTATTTTGGGTAATGACCCCATTTTTTAAAGGAAGGGTCATGGAGACTCAAGGGAGCTCCCCGCAAAAACCAATGTTTGGGGGTCAAAACCCTGAATTCGAAAACAAGCCCCTTTGTCCAAACACAGTAAGGCGTGGTCATGGCTCATAGGAACCCTGCTGCTTGCGTAAAGTCGCTTGTTCAGGCTTGCTCCGAAACACTGGCAGTGGTAAAGCTATGTCCTCCAGTAGAGAGGTTAGAATAAGGGTACCCTTTTTTTCTGTAGTCTATTTTAGTAGGGGAACCCTCCCCAAAAAAAGGGCAAAAGGGCACTGCTGGGGGACCTAGAAAGGGAAACCAACAAGAAGCAGTCGAATTTTCCAGCCTTGGGCTTTGCTATTTTGAAGGCTCAGAGCGCCAGTATTGAAGGGGTCGACAACCAACCTTGCTCAGCCCAAACAACCTGGCGTTGTTGAATCAATTGCCGGTGAGTGGCAATCGTGGGGGCTCTTGCGTGTTGTCACAGTCTCTGCTGCAGGTCTAGCATCTTGTCACATTCAATATGCCCGGCCAAATGCACAACTTAAGCTTGACTTTTTCGAGGGTCTGGACCCCCATCCCCGAGGCTTCTCCAGGGGACCATGCCTTCTCAATGCTTGGAACCGTTCTAAAGGGCGCTATAGCCAGACATGAATTTACTTGATGATTGCATTCCTAGCTGCCCCCCCCCTCACACGAAGGTTCAACGCACTGAGTACTCTTTCTCTTTTGGCGCTGGGCCCCTGGGACTCGAAATGGAACCCTGTTGTTTTCCCTGTCAAAAACCAGCTAGGATCCCCAAGAAATCAAGCAGGGGACCCGATCAGGCCGACGCAGAACCGGCTGCTGGGGAACAGCTCGAAAGAAAAAACTGAGAAGGCAAGATACCCCGGGGAAAGCCGATGTGCGTTTTTACTGTAAGGTACCTCATTTTTGGTCATAGGCTTTTCCCAAGTGGACAGTGCCTTCTCAACTGTTTATTATTTTTTAGAGAAATACAACAAACATGAGCGAGCACGCAGAGGTTGGGGGAGCACGCAAACCCGGAGAGGGCCCGCAAAGCCCGGAGAAGGCCCGCAAAATCCGGAGAAGGCCCCGAAAAAAAAATCAAGTCTGTTTTGTTTGGCGATGTGCGACGTGCAAATCCGCATCCATGGCTGCTGGTGATGCCTGTGCTGCTGCTGATGCTGGTGATGCCTGTAAACTGGTGATGCCTAAAAGTATCTAGCCAGAGCACAAGGCTGACAAACACACATGCCAACCCTTGAGAAGGCACGCTTATCTCAGGGAACCCGCAAAATCCAGAGGACGCGCGTCCAGACTTCCGACTTTTGTATCAGTGAGCCAAAGACTCACATCCACCTGAATGCACAATCTGGGTGACCCGTGTCTATCTCAGTTCACCCACAGGATGTTGGACAAACCGAACCCATTGGGCTCAGTCTTTTGGACCTACAAACAAACGAACCTCATTCCGTTCCCCGAAGGCTTTATATATCAGCTTCAAGCCTTGTAACACTGAGCCATCTTCAGGAACGACAAACGCAGAGCTCCCTGCCAATTCAAGCGTTTGCACAAACGAATCACAGACAGTCCAGGAACAATAGCGGACAGGGGATGCGCCTAGAATCCACTTGCATCACAGCCCAAGCCCTGAGGCTCAATCTGCCAATATAGAACCATGAAGCCTGTCTGATAACTTTGGGAGCATGTTCTGAGACATGACCCAGTTGACCACGACACTTCCAGGAAACCGAGACCTAAAACATGACATTTCCCCAAAGCTTCTCAGCACCACCTACTGTAATGTTAACCCCGGATTATTAAAACGCTGGTTGATTAAAAGGAGGGTGTCCCCTTTAGTAGGGATTCATCACTTTCGGAGGGAACACCCCCCTAATAATGGGACGGGTTGATTAATCCTAGGTCAACATTCTGGGCAAAGCTTGGGTTGGTTCCTCTGGTTTGGTTTGTGGGTTGCCCACTAGAATTGGTAACCAGTTGTCCTCAGGCTTGCGTCATGGCGGGCCTCCAATTACTGGTCCCAAATATCGTGAGATGGATTTGCGGGGCAAGCCAGAAAGCCCGTGTCCATGTTTTGGGGAGGTTCTTGCATCTTAGAAGAAACAAACAGTTGAATCACAGCCAAATCCCGTTGCAAAGCTTTACAATAGCTGGAATGTCCTCCATTGATCGTTGCGACGCGACCAGTTCTTGAGACATCTATTTGCTGAACATGTGCCCCAAAATCAACCACAGCCGAGCCACTAGCCATGTGGGTTCGGGGCGTTGCGGTGGGGGCGCTACCCTCAGCCGGTTCTTTTCTGGGGTTCCAGCCTGCGGGAACCTTCTGCGCAGGTTCGCTTGTGCCACCTCGTCTCCGGGGAACAGATCCTGGATGGCTGAGGCTTGAGGGAAAAATCCGAGCTGACAGGAGGGCATCTTAGCCTCAGAGATTCATTGCGTCCAAAAGACTCCCCGCTTTCAAGGAACTGCTGTGTATCTGCGGATTTCTGCATAGGCGTGCAAATTGCGTCTGCGCGTCTGTGAGACAGGTCTTCCCGTGCACCACTTTTGATGGCCCTCAATCAGTTCTAAAACACAGGCGCGAGCGTGATACACAAATCACAGTTCTCGAGTTCGAGGTGATGTAAGCGGGAACAAAATTCAAGAAATTGTCGCACAATTGAGCACCCGTTCGGATGATGTAAGGCTACATGTCATACATGTCAAAAGAAAACCAACCATTTGTGGTGCTATTTCGCTCCTGGACAAGCATCTCCCACGAGACGGAAGTGATGTTTTGGGATCAACCAATTTGTCGGCAAAGCAATTCTCCATAGGGGAAGGCTCCTGGATATGACAAAGTGAGAACCAAACCCTCATTCCCGCAACCCTGGACCAAATGAATCCGGAAACCGATACCATGGTCCGTTTCCGAGTTTTTGAGACTTGATACCTACAGAACCCAATCGAAAACCAGCCAAGTTTGCCCACTTGGGTGTAAAGTTTGAGGGTCCCCCTGGTGGACATCGTGGGGATTCACGTCCACCAAGGCCTTTGCAAATGGTTCCCGGTTCCTTTCGTGAACCGTCCATAGCCGTTTCCACAACCCGCAAGCCCCGTGTCAACTCCTCGCAGATCTTCTCAATACTGCCCACGTAGACCAACTTCTCCCAGAACTGGGGCGTGAGCCAGGCCTTCAACCGCAGCTCTGGGGAAGTCACCCTCCATGGCCCGCCTCCCTGGGTCCCTGCCGTTTGTACGTCAGAATGAGAACACATTACGTCAGACAAAGACGGGGATGCCCCTGTTGCGGGGTTCCTCCACAAAAAAAGGGAGCTTTTTCGGATCCAAGATCAAAACTGTGGGTGAGTCAGACCTTCTTACGCCGGCAGGAGTGCAGGTTTTGGTCAAGCGACGGAAGGGTTTGTTTTGGCCGAACGAGAGCAACTGTGGAGTCGGGTGACTAAAGGGAGGCTGTGACACAGGGAGGCTGTGGCATCCTTTTGCCAACCCACCCCCTTTTGCCGTTGAACCGTTTGCGCGTGGGGCATGCAAATGGACCAAGACTGGAAAACCAATATCAAACGAAAAATCACCCTTGGTCGGGTGCCCTCTGTAAACAAATTACACGTCCCCATTTCGACTCATGACATAGCAAACATGTCAGTGGCAAGAGGAAATCTCCGTAGTTTGGTCTTTGCAGGGAATCAGGGTGCCCACTGCCTCCCGCAATTAAACATGATGTACTACCACAATTCTGTTTAATTCTTTGGGAACAAGCCCGTTTCAAGTGCAGAAGTTCCATCAAAGGATGATGCAATTGGCAGTGCGCACCTCTATTCATTCATCACGCAGTTTATAATTCCAGGGTACCCGTCCATTCCCAGCAATTGAACACCAATTTAGCAGTAGGCCCGCTGCAACAGGTCGCAGCA